GGTTCCCCATTGGAATGCACTGAAATCTATTTAATGCATTCCAATGGGGGGAAAAACCGCCTTGCTAAGCATCGGTCTAAAAAAAAAAAACCCGTCTTGCAAAACGTGGTTCCCCATTGGAATGCATTGAAATCTATTTAATGCATTCCAGTGGGGGGGAAATCATTGTCTTGAGAAAATCGTCCATAGAAAACATCGTCTTGCGAAACGTGGTTCCCCATTGGAATGCACTGAAATCTATTTAATGCATTCCAATTGGGGGGAAACCATCTTGCGAAGCATAAACCCAAACATTGTCTTGCAAAGCGCAACAGCGATTGCAAAAACCCATCACCTTGCAGATTAATCATCCCATGAGGCAATTATCTTGCGAGGCACCACTGCTTTTTGCTGCTGACTGAAGAACAGGAGCTACTGGGTCCCATGGGCAAAAAAGGAAAAGCAAGATGGCCGGGAAGGCTAATTCTTATAATGATCCTTAGAGTATCCCTATCATTCAAGAGCAGGCTATCTTGCATAACTCACCAAGTTCCCCTTGTCCTCCTAAAGGAATTTGGCAAGACAGAACCGGGCAGATAAGACCAAACCCTAAGAGGGAGTCTGTGGTCCTAGAGACATGTTTCTAGCTTTCCATCTATATAATGGTCTGAAAAAGAACTTAGGAAAGGCATCTCTCATCTTGGAACGCTCTGATTCTGTTTTTCTAAAGTTCTTTCCCCTATAAATCATGGGTGCCTTCTCTGCAGCCTTTCTCTCTCTCCCTCCCTCTGTGTTTTTAGGGAAAGACCAGATCTCATGAAATTCCTTATGCAGAGAAGAGGCGGAGTGAGGAAATGCCAGTCACTGCCTAAAGAAACGGAGGCCTTGGAAAAGGTGACCTTGGCGAAGGGTCCTGACAGAGGCTTTGGAAGGACAAGCCCCCCCCCATAAGCCCTTCTTGGCAGGTCCTGGCTCTCAAAGTCTTATTCAGTTTGGGATTGAAATCTCACATGTGGTTTTAGAGTGATTTCAGCAGCAGTGAGAGCACAGGAACCTCAAGACTGCAAGAGCCTCTGCAGGCGCAAGAAAAATATCCACTGGAGTCCAGAGATTTTTATAGTGCTTTCCACAGGGATAAGCTACTTTGACCCCCCTAGGCAGAGTTTCCTTAGACATCCAAGGACATGTGCAAAGCAAACAAAAGGGGCAACAGCCAATCTTGGCCAGCTGGTTTCCTTCATGAAGAATCTGACCATGACAGGCATCCTGTCTTGGGAGGTAATTGCTACCAGCAGGATAACCCTCGGGCAATGGAAGGGGACCTCTTTCGGCCAGAGGGCTAAACCCGTATGTCAGAGAAGGCCTCAGGGCCACATTCCTGAGAGTGGGCGGAGCCAGAGGCAGGAAAGGTGAGGAATACCAGTATATCCTCGCTTCAACCCTTTTGCTAAACCAGTCACTAAGCTTGAGAAGAGGAATTTCAGCCTTTTAAAGGGGGGGGGGAGAAGCACCTACAGAAGCTAGGAAACCACCAACTGATCATGAAATAATGGAGAAGGGGTTAGGGACATCTGGATGGATTGATTCACAGGGCCCTGGATTTGTGGGACGGGAGCCTGCTTGCAGAAGCTGCTAATTAGAGCTATATTAGCTGAACCTCATTCCGCCTACTGGGCTGGCTGCTCTGGCAGATGTCACTTGCTCCGTGTGGCTTTCTAAAGCTCCCATTTCTTTGTGGTGGTTGTCATCATCCTCGGCCTTTGATGTTCCATCACACAGGTGGGCAGTTCTCTAGCCTCACAAGCTTGCCGACAATGTGTGCATGAATGTGTTTGTGTGCATGAATGTGATCTAGTTCACATCTAGAGGCTAGATGTGAACTAGACCATATTCATGCACACAAACACTGGAGGAGTCATTTTTTTGCCACAGGCCAGACTTAACACATAGGGGTGGATGTCACTGTCCCAAGCTTGCAGAAAGTGGATCTGTGGATGAGAAAAGGGACTGCCCTCCTAACTAGGGATCCCAGTCTAAAAGTGACGCCAGAATGAACAATTAGATATCTAGAAGAAACATTTTCTAGAAGGAGTTTCTGAGGACCAACTTGTTCTCCATACAATTTGTCTGAGCTCATTGCCATATCATGCTACGCATGCACGCACGCACGCACGCACGCACGCACACACGCACACACACACACTTTCGCCATATCATGCTACGCGCGCGCGCGCACGCACACACACACACACACACACACTTGCTACTTACAAAGACCAGTTCACCAGGTTCCCCACAACAAGCAGGACCATTCTGTCCTACAGGGAAGAAGCAATAAGAAGACGCATGTGCATTAAAATCATAACCACAACATTTTTTGCCAGTGCAATTGGAGTTGTTTAGTATTTTAGGAATAGTTCAAGTGTTTCGGGCACAGTCAAAGCAAATTTAAGTATTAAAAATCCCTTCCAGACATAATTCATTACTTAACTCTACCTTTATCCATCACACAAGCAGAAAAACACCCAATCCCATCTCTTTTTGTTCTGATTTCTTCACATGCACAACAAAGGGTCTGCAGAAGGCAGTGTGCTGCTCACATGGAGCCTCTACAAAAAAGCAAGAACTCCAGTTTCCCAGGGTTGTTATTCATGTGCAGAGGCTACACACCAGCAGGACTCTCCTCTTTGCAAGTGAATAATTTTTCAAGCAGCAAAAGCAACAGAGAGGGAAGGGTCTGGGCACTTTCCTGCTTGCATGATTGAGGAACAACAGATAGAATCAGAATGAAGCATAAGCCTCATAAGATGCTTAAAGTCCATTGATTTTCAATGAGAGAGAGAGAGAGAGAGAGTCATTGATTTTCAATGAGAGAGAGAGAAAAAAAACATGTAGGACTTTAATAGTACTTACTTTAAAAGAATGGTCTCAAAAGAAGTTATAGAAATGCATTCACGTGTTGCTTAGGACTTTAAAAGTTCTTCCTTTAAAAGAACGGTCTCAAAAAAAGTTATAGAAATGCATTCACGTGTTGCTTTAATATTGCTAAAGTAATTCTAGAATATTTTAAATTGTTCTACGCCAATAGTTATGTAATAGTAGACCTAGTTCAATTATTGTGGGAGATCACACTTTTTCTCTAGGCTTCTGTGTTTAGCTCTCCCCCCTCCCTCTCATTGCTTCTGTGGCCACAAGTAGAAGACGAGAAGCTTTCACCTGGTTTTAAACATGGGTAGAAAGGCAGGAATAACATCAAACAAGTCATTAAGGAAATAAGTAAGTATTATGCCTGACCTCTGTGAATTGTGGTTTGCTTAAAGCCTTGTTCATGAAAAGACCCAATCCGGCCTTGTTTGAGCAAAGTTTAAACCAAGGCTGGACCTCCAGATTAAACATCTGGTCCTACAGTCTTTGGGCTTGCTGGGTGGGGCTTGTGGGAGTTGTAGTCCTGAACACACAGAGGGCCAAAATTCCCTCCACCTTTTTAAACAAGCCATCGTTCACAGAATTAGGATTCTCCAAAACCTGGTTTCTTTAAAATGAGAAGTGAATGCTCTCAATCATTTCCTTGTTGCCATGAGAGAAGAGCTTAAATTCTACTGCAGTCTGTCAGCTGGTTATCTCTGAAGTTCTGTCCATATCCAACATGGACAAAATCCATAAACAGGTTCAGACCAGGTCATGGAATAATTCTATTTCCCTCTGGTTTGTTGCCTTTCTATTACATTGCTGCTAACTTGGCTTTCTCTGCTTAGATCTTATTTATTTTAATATGTTTACTTTTGATATGTTTTCAGTTGCTTATCTTGTGATGTTGCTTTTAGTTTATAGTGTATGCCACTCTGGAATCCTCTAGTGGAAAAACAGCCCATGAATATACATATGAGAGATGTGAACGGTTACTTCTTTTTTATTACAGCTCCCACAATGTCGCAGCTCTGATAAATATAAATAGTTAATGTCAGAAATCCTTAAAGGGGGGCTAGTTATGTGTGCTGAAAACAACGGCAGAGCAATCTTTGTTAATTATGTGTCTCCTCTACCCACAGAGGAGTGGAGAGATGAATCTAATCTTAACATGAAAGAGACCTTGTGGGTTTGCTGAGCTGGACCATCTCTTGATTTATGTCTTCCTGGTAGCACGACAGTTCATCTCCCCTTTCTCATGCGCTTGCTTCATTAAAAACCTCACCACTTTATAGCACATGTAAATCAAGAGATGTAGTAATCAATGACGGCAGTAAAGAATGGCTTTTATAAATTCACTCTGAAAGTTCATGACTGAGGTGAAGCCTGAATCAAGGGCCTTCTGATTCAGAGGTCCTGCTGCTACATACCAGTGTCCTGTGGTGTACGAGAGATGGAAAGGAACCTCCTATTAAACCACACTTTCATAAAGGTTTCAGGAAAGCCAAGAAAGAAACCTTCTTGTATTGTATTTGCGAAGGCCTTCATGGCCGGGATCTGATGGTTGTTGTGGGTTTTTCAGGCTCTTTGGCCGTGTTCTGAAGGTTGTTCTTCCTAACGTTTCGCCAGGCTCTGCGGCCGGCATCTTCAGAGGACAGAAGGCCACAGAGTGCTATCCTCTAAAGATGCCGGCCCCAGAGACTGGGGAAACATTAGGAAGAAGAACCTTCAAAACATGGCCAAAGAGCCCAAAAAACCCACAACAACCTTCTTGTATTATTTTTTCCTTGCATTTTTCACCTGAAATTCTCATTTTCAGATCCCTCAGCTCTGTGCTTCAGTTCCAAATGGATTTCATAGCACGAATGAGAAAGCCTTCCAGTCCTTGCCACACTTTTACTCAGTGGGAGTCTCTGAGCTCTTGCCGAAAACCCACACGGGGCTATCTGCAGTTTGCAATTTCCATTATGAATCACTCAAAGTATGGGTGTGATCCATCCAAGGTTAATGAGCTTTTGAGTCCTGTTGATATCAGTATTTAATTAGATGACCACCTTTTCCTGGCGTCTTTAAACACGCTCAAATGAAAAAAAAGGAAAACAAACCACTCCCCCACCGGACCAGAGATGGCTTCTGCAGGAGAGGTACTTACCATGTACATGGGGCGGCTGCACTGCTGGATGCAGTCTGTGTACAACACCATAAATGCACGCTGGAAAATCCCAAAGTCTGCCACAAACAAAAGCACATGTTACTCCAAGGAGGGACAGCTTGGCAATCCGAATGTTGTAATGAAGGGAACTATCTATGTCCATGTGGTAAAGAAAGGCAGACAGAAGGTGGGCCCAGATCTACAAAGAGAAGGCTGGATGACCTGCAGTAGATTCTGACTTGCCGCTTTAGCTTAAGTGAACTACAAAATGGTCTTCTCCACCTCCATTGGGCTGATGAAATGAAGAAAGGCTTGGGGGTAATTAGGAGTGGACTTCTTTGTTAAAGAACTATGAGTTCAATCCAGTTTTGGGACTGGAAAAAAAAGAATGTCCTCTGAGGCATCTGGATCTTTAATTCTAATTTCTCATCATTTGTAACTGGTTCTGGCTTCCAGTAAAATCAAAGTAGAGCTGGCTAACCTGAGGACTCCCCCTCCTCCGCTGTGAGGGCATACAGAGCAACACTACGATAGCAAGTACTCATACTGATTTCTGTTGGCAAAAATATCCTGACGCGGTAAAGGGTATACATTATTTGCTTAGGCCACTGGGTTTGCAAAGTGGGTGTGTTGAAATCCAAGCTCATGTCTTGATGCCTATGAGGAATCTGTGGAAGAAACTCCTTTTTTACCAGCTAAAGCTGTTGTTCGATTATTTCATCACCTTTCCGGTACAGAGGCGACTTGGGCACTGCTATCTGTACTCTCCTAACTCCCAGAGAAGCCTCTGTGCCTTGAGAGATCACAACGGATGTTAGAATATGGATTAAAACTAGGACAGAAAGATCTCAGCAGTTTTAAAGCAGCTTCACTAGTTCAGTCTGAACAGAATTGAAAGGGGTTTGTTTAACCTTTAAGGCCTTTTGCAACGTGGGCAGTTTTGGACAAAGAACGATTCTATACACGAGTCTTCCTTACCACCACTGCTACCTGAGGCCCACGTCTGATTCCTAGGAAAAGGATCTGTTTACGTATGGGGCCTTGATTATGGAATAGAGGAGACTGCCTAGAGCTGGCTTCCAGGCATCAAGAAGCCTATTCTGGCTAAGACTTTTTTTTAAAAAAAAAACTGCATTTTAACAGTCCCTTTCACCTTTTAAATTGTGAAACTGCGATTCTCTTACTTTTAGCTGTCCTTTCCAACACCGACGGACAGTTTGTTTCATGGAACAAAATTTAAAACTAATCGTCAATTACTGTTCTTAAGTTACAACTGGCTTGGAAGCTTTTGAAAAGCACCATCAAAATATTCTGAAGAAAAGAGAGACATTTTGAGAGTACCTTCCAATGGCACTGTTGAACATTCACATTCAACGATGTCTTTCCAAGAGTATTCTTAGAAAAATCTCCAACAGGCTGGCAGGGCACTCAACTCCACCTCTTACAGCTCTGTTCTGGGGAGAAATAGCACTGGTGGTTCAACGTCTAGTCTAAGCTACCGATCCATTTTTTTTTAAAAAAATAAGGGTTTAGACTAGGTATGACCAAGTGGGCAGCTTTGAGTCAAACTAAAGATGTGTCAAACTACAGCTTCCATCACACCAGCCAGCATGACTGTTAATGGGAATTAAAATCCAAGCACACTTAGATCCAGCATCAAGCCAGGGACATGCTAGAAGAAAAGAGCATGCTTTCTTGCTCAGCCTGGCTTAGTCCAAATGGGAAAGGTGAACACAAAAAGTGCGAGTTACCTGGTTCAGAGACATCTGAGGCCAAGCGAAGGAGACGAGAGAAAAGAGGGAGAGAAAGAGGCTTGTGAGAGGAGCTTAATGGCAAGACAAAAGGAGGACAAATGCATAACCTTTGGCTGGGAGGTTCTCCAGAGCACTTAGCAGAGAAGGAGGCATACACAAAGCTCAGGTGCCTGTACACACACACACACACACCTGCATCCCTAAGCAAGTGCAACCTGAAAGAAAATGAAAGATGCCTTGACGAGACAACACAGCAATTCTAGACAAGTAAGGCTCTTACACAGAGGAGAACCAGAGGAACTACGAGCTTCTATGGGGAGTCAAGGGACAACTGCCTAGTCTGAACTGGAAAGATCAGACAAAAACCAGAAAAGTCAACATGGAGTCTCTTAATTCTAATTTCGCACACCAGAAATAAGAATTGGGTACAGAGCAACCTTTCCGTGCCATGTCCAGGATCGCAGGTCTTCCACATGATGCTGGGCTTCTCCCATCAGTCCCAACCAAAATAACCCATGGTGAGGGATGAGGGCTGCTGCAGTCCACCAAGATCTAGAAGGCAGCTGATCCCCACCCCACCCACCCCCATTTAGGCAGCACTATTGATTTCCTCCAGGTAAATGTGGTTAGAAGGACTATCGTTACCCACCTATCTTGAAACGACCCATGTAGTAGATCTGAGTGCTCAGGCCAAGCGAGGCAATAACATGGATGACTGAGAAGAGGACCCAAAACCACACTGAATTCTTTCCAAAAACCTGGGAACAAGCAGGAGAGAGAGAGAGATGTGGATGGTGTTCAGCAAGTTTCCAGGCTCAGCTTGCCAGCAGTGAAAAAGGTTTCCCTTTCTTCAATAAAGGAGTTTAAATACACCCTACAATTAAAGTTTTCCAAACTTATCCAGCAAAGGCTTGCTGAAATGCGTACTCTCAGAGCCTGTCATTTTGTAACATGGAACAACAAATCTTGTTCAGGAGCTGATCTGTGCCATGGAGCGGACGGTCAACAGCTCTCCTCCTCTTCATAGCATCCAATCATTACAGTGACATTTTTCACCAAATATATTTTGTTGGTGAAAGAAAACACACTTTTCAGGAGCCCACAGTGGTCTTCAAGATGAAGTCGAGCCTACGTTAAACAGCGTGCCAGGGCCCTCAGTGGGCTGGTGCAGGCACAGTAGCACATGTGGGTGCTGTGCTGGATTTTTTCCTTGCATTTTTCACCTGAAATTCTCATTTTCAGATCCCTCAGCTCTGTGCTTCAGTTCCAAACGGATTTCATGGCGCGAATGAGAGAGCCTTCCAGTCCTTGCCACACTTTTACTCAGTGGGAGTCTCTGAGCTCTTGCTGAGAACCCACACGGGGCTACCTGCAGAGCAGTTTGCAATTTCCATTATGAATCACTCAAAGTATGGGTGTGATCCATCCAAGGTTAATGAGCTTTTGAGTCCTGTTGATATCAGTATTTAATTAGATGACCACCTTTTCCTGGCGTCTTTAAACACGCTCAAATGAAAAAAAAGGAAAACAAACCACTCCCCCACCGGACCAGAGATGGCTTCTGCAGGAGAGGTACTTACCATGTACATGGGGCGGCTGCACTGCTGGATGCAGTCTGTGTACAACACCATAAATGCACGTTGGAAAATCCCAAAGTCTGCCACAAACAAAAGCACATGTTACTCCAAGGAGGGACAGCTTGGCAATCCGAATGTTGTAATGAAGGGAACTATCTATGTCCATGTGGTAAAGAAAGGCAGACAGAAGGTGGGCCCAGATCTACAAAGAGAAGGCTGGATGACCTGCAGTAGATTCTGACTTGCCGCTTTAGCTTAAGTGAACTACAAAATGGTCTTCTCCACCTCCATTGGGCTGATGAAATGAAGAAAGGCTTGGGGGTAATTAGGAGTGGACTTCTTTGTTAAAGAACTATGAGTTCAATCCAGTTTTGGGACTGGAAAAAAAAGAATGTCCTCTGAGGCATCTGGATCTTTAATTCTAATTTCTCATCATTTGTAACTGGTTCTGGCTTCCAGTAAAATCAAAGTAGAGCTGGCTAACCTGAGGACTCCCCCTCCTCCGCTGTGAGGGCATACAGAGCAACACTACGATAGCAAGTACTCATACTGATTTCTGTTGGCAAAAATATCCTGACGCGGTAAAGGGTATACATTATTCGCTTAGGCCACTGGGTTTGCAAAGTGGGTGTGTCGAAATCCAAGCTCATGTCTTGATGCCTATGAGGAATCTGTGGAAGAAACTCCTTTTTTACCAGCTAAAGCTGTTGTTCGATTATTTCATCACCTTTCCGGTACAGAGGCGACTTGGGCACTGCTATCTGTACTCTCCTAACTCCCAGAGAAGCCTCTGTGCCTTGAGAGATCACAACGGATGTTAGAATATGGATTAAAACTAGGACAGAAAGATCTCAGCAGTTTTAAAGCAGCTTCACTAGTTCAGTCTGAACAGAATTGAAAGGGGTTTGTTTAACCTTTAAGGCCTTTTGCAACGTGGGCAGTTTTGGACAAAGAACGATTCTATACACGAGTCTTCCTTACCACCACTGCTACCTGAGGCCCACGTCTGATTCCTAGGAAAAGGATCTGTTTACGTATGGGGCCTTGATTATGGAATAGAGGAGACTGCCTAGAGCTGGCTTCCAGGCATCAAGAAGCCTATTCTGGCTAAGACTTTTTTTTAAAAAAAAAACTGCATTTTAACAGTCCCTTTCACCTTTTAAATTGTGAAACTGCGATTCTCTTACTTTTAGCTGTCCTTTCCAACACCAACGGACAGTTTGTTTCGTGGAACAAAATTTTAAAACTAATCGTCAATTACTGTTCTTAAGTTACAACTGGCTTGGAAGCTTTTGAAAAGCACCATCAAAATATTCTGAAGAAAAGAGAGACATTTTGAGAGTACCTTCCAATGGCACTGTTGAACATTCACATTCAACGATGTCTTTCCAAGAGTATTCTTAGAAAAATCTCCAACAGGCTGGCAGGGCACTCAACTCCACCTCTTACAGCTCTGTTCTGGGGAGAAATAGCACTGGTGGTTCAACGTCTAGTCTAAGCTACCGATCCATTTTTTTTTAAAAAAATAAGGGTTTAGACTAGGTATGACCAAGTGGGCACCTTTGAGTCAAACTAAAGATGTGTCAAACTACAGCTTCCATCACACCAGCCAGCATGACTGTTAATGGGAATTAAAATCCAAGCACACTTAGATCCAGCATCAAGCCAGGGACATGCTAGAAGAAAAGAGCATGCTTTCTTGCTCAGCCTGGCTTAGTCCAAATGGGAAAGGTGAACACAAAAAGTGCGAGTTACCTGGTTCAGAGACATCTGAGGCCAAGCGAAGGAGACGAGAGAAAAGAGGGAGAGAAAGAGGCTTGTGAGAGGAGCTTAATGGCAAGACAAAAGGAGGACAAATGCATAACCTTTGGCTGGGAGGTTCTCCAGAGCACTTAGCAGAGAAGGAGGCATACACAAAGCTCAGGTGCCTGTACACACACACACACACACCTGCATCCCTAAGCAAGTGCAACCTGAAAGAAAATGAAAGATGCCTTGACGAGACAACACAGCAATTCTAGACAAGTAAGGCTCTTACACAGAGGAGAACCAGAGGAACTACGAGCTTCTATGGGGAGTCAAGGGACAACTGCCTAGTCTGAACTGGAAAGATCAGACAAAAACCAGAAAAGTCAACATGGAGTCTCTTAATTCTAATTTCGCACACCAGAAATAAGAATTGGGTACAGAGCAACCTTTCCGTGCCATGTCCAGGATCGCAGGTCTTCCACATGATGCTGGGCTTCTCCCATCAGTCCCAACCAAAATAACCCATGGTGAGGGATGATGGTTGTTGCAGGCCACCAAGATTTAGAAGGCAGCTGATCCCCACCCCACCCCCCACCCCCACTTAGGTAGCACTATTGATTTCTGAGAGCTGCTCCTCCAGGTAAATGTGGTTAGAAGGACTATCGTTACCCGGGCTGCTGCAGTCCACCAAGATCTAGAAGGCAGCTGATCCCCACCCCACCCACCCCCATTTAGGCAGCACTATTGATTTCCTCCAGGTAAATGTGGTTAGAAGGACTATCGTTACCCACCTATCTTGAAACGACCCATGTAGTAGATCTGAGTGCTCAGGCCAAGCGAGGCAATAACATGGATGACTGAGAAGAGGACCCAAAACCACACTGAATTCTTTCCAAAAACCTGGGAACAAGCAGGAGAGAGAGAGAGATGTGGATGGTGTTCAGCAAGTTTCCAGGCTCAGCTTGCCAGCAGTGAAAAAGGTTTCCCTTTCTTCAATAAAGGAGTTTAAATACACCCTACAATTAAAGTTTTCCAAACTTATCCAGCAAAGGCTTGCTGAAATGCGTACTCTCAGAGCCTGTCATTTTGTAACATGGAACAACAAATCTTGTTCAGGAGCTGATCTGTGCCATGGAGCGGACGGTCAACAGCTCTCCTCCTCTTCATAGCATCCAATCATTACAGTGACATTTTTCACCAAATATATTTTGTTGGTGAAAGAAAACACACTTTTCAGGAGCCCACAGTGGTCTTCAAGATGAAGTCGAGCCTACGTTAAACAGCGTGCCAGGGCCCTCAGTGGGCTGATAATCCGTTCCAGCAAAATCCCTGTGCTGTGCTGGGGATCTCAGTTTGACTGTAACAATGGGCCTGACCAGACTGGCTACAGTGGACCCTTGACTTACAGATGGCTTGACTTACAGACTTTTTGAGTTACAAACTTCTCTGGCCGCAAAATTTAGGTTTGACTTGCAGCCTGAGAAATATATTTTGTTGGTGAAAGAAAACACACTTTTCAGGAGCCCACAGTGGTCTTCAAGATGAAGTTGAGCCTACATTAAATAGCCTGCCAGGGCCCTCAGTGGGCTGGTGCAGGCACAGTAGCACATGTGGGTGCTGTGCTGGAGATCTCAGTTTGACTGTAACGATGGGCCTGACCAGACTGGCTATTTTGGTGTGGGTTGGATGGGGCTACGAAGAGTTAGTTCAGGTCAAGGGGAGGAGCTGATGTGCCATTTGGCATGCTCCTCCCATCCAAATGACAATGGCTCTTTGTAGCCCAATCTGCTGTCAATAAAGTTAGTTGAGGTCAAGGGGAAGAGCTGATGTGCCATTTAGCATGACAATGGCTCTTTGTAGCCCAATCTGCTGTCAATAAAGCACTTCTCCCATGGTCAAACTAGATCATCACTGATGTGATGAAGCAATTCATTTAAATCTATTTTTCCCCTTTGCTTGCCTCTATTTTGCTGATCTATAAATTGCTCAGAGCTGTAGCTTCAATCAGCTATACACAGACAGGCAAAGAATTTAAAAACAAAAACATTTAAATGAATCAGTTCTGTGATGATCTAGCAGATGTGCAAATACCCTCCATAGATGATTAGGGGAGGTGCTCAATTTCTGATATCCTGGAGCAGCTCATAAGCCACTTCAGAATACCGGAAATCGACACCGGACAGAGCTGCAAGGCTATAGTTTAATCCAGTGGTTCTTAACCTTTGTTACTCGGATGCTTTTGAACTGCAACTCCCAGAAACTCCAGTCAGGACAGCTGGTGGTGAAGGCTTCTGGGAGTTGCAGTCCAAAACTCCTGAGTAACCCAAGGTTAAGAACCAGTGGTTTAATCTGTATCAAGTTACCACACTTGTTAGGACTGGACTAAACTGGAGCGCTCCAAACCCTACCAAAACAGCAGACGAGGTTCAAAAAGGTGTGGGTTGGAACAAGCTCCAACAACGTTCGTATGTGGATGCCAGAAAAAATAGATGACTAACTCAATCCATCAGCACACCAAACAGTGGGACAAATGCCCATGTGGATTTCTTTTACACCCAAGTAAACTTAAAATAAACACACATTCTTCCCCCTGCATACCAATGTTCTCTATTCCCACCCCCACCCATCCTCTGTTGATCTTTCCATGTATCTACTGTACACTGTGAGCTTCCTGGCATAAAGGCCCGTCATACCTGTTCCTTGTAAAGTGCCAAGCATATGAAAGGGATTTATATAAATAATACTTCAGTTCAAAAAGTCTGAGCCCTTGTCTATAAATAAAAACACTGTGAAGGCTCGCAGTAGGATGGAGGTCGCTGGAACTCTTATTTTCATATACCTGGCATTTTCAGAATTTATGTTCAAAAATTCACACAAGATTGCAGGGCTTGGTAGCTTGATCTCACAAGGCATTTGTTTCAGATGCCGAGCCCCCTTTCCCCTCATTCCATTCTCAGCCTTTTCTCCCCACTTTTGCTGAAACCATTCTCTTCTTAAGGAAAAGGATGTCTCAGACAATGACATACCACTCCCAGCACAGCAAGGCAAATGACCACAGCAAAGGAGGCGTAGGCAGAGTAGGCGCTGGCGTTGATGTCAGGATGGCGAGTCTGGTACAGCTTTAGCATGCACAGCCCTGCAATCATGTACATGAAGGAGGTGTCTGTCGAAGAAGGAGAAAAGACCATCGTGAAATCACTGGTGGTGTTTCTAAAATCACACTCTTAAACACTCCAGAACTGCTGATAAGCCACACAAAGAGATTGGTGTTCTTGCAGACTGGAATCACCATAATGGGATCAATGAATTAAATTAAACGAATTGTAAAAAGAAAGGAAAACAAAAACCTTCTGCTCCTGCTCTTTAAAAAGGCTCTCACAGATACAACAAAAACTTCACTGGGACATAACGTCTGCAGAGACATGTGGAAGATGCCATTGTAGATCACGAGAAAGGAGAGGGAGGGGAAGAAATTATTAGACTTAATTTAAAACAATTTTAGTACAGTGTTCCCTATTTCTGAACAGTATCTCTGCTTCCAATTGGTTTCCCCAGATGCACCTAAAATTGGGAGGTGCCGTGAAAACCAAATCTTAGTGACTCTGATGAACATGTCAACAGACAAAAGGAAACCCTCCTGCTCTTCTTTCTCCTGTGTTTCCGGCTGAAGGAAACTCTCTGCTTACCAAACTGGAAATTGGAGTAGTTGGGGCAGACATGGTAGCAAGCGCTGAGGACACCTTCCATGATCAAAGCTATGCCCATGGCATAGAAAAGGCCAAAGTGCTTGGGGATCCCATAGTCCTGAAAGGGAAGAGCAGGGAAGGTCCAAGAAGGATGATTAGTACATTTATAATCTTGGAGAGAGCCTTTCTTCATAGAAGACCACTATCCTTTTCACAGATTGTCCCATTAGAGCCAATAAGCAGCAAATCTTTGGCTAGGCTTAACAAAGGCTCTTTTGAATAATAATGATCATGTGCTGGCAAATTCTGGTTTATGATGACCCTTTTAGGGGTTTTCCACACAGAGAGTACCGTAGGATCCCCTGAGGATGCTCAAAGACATGGAATGCTATTCTCATAGTGAATGCTTGTACATGGCACGGTCTCTGTCTCCGTCTAGTGGCTGATAACTCCATTCTTAAAAATGTATACTTTTTGGGATTTCTCTTTTATTGTTTTTAATACAGTGGTGCCCCACTTGACGACGATAATCCGTTCCAGCAAAATCCCTGTAGAGCGAAATTGTTGACAAGCGAAATAAAACCCCCCATTGAAATGCACTGAAAACTGGTTCAATGTGTCCCAATGGGAGAAATACCTGCTCGTTATGCGAAGAGCCCCCATAGGGCGGCCATTTTCCGATGCCTGTATAGTGAGCAATCAGTCCTGAAAACAGTGGGGAACCATTTTGCACAGCGGGCGGCCATTTTGAAAACCCGACGATCAGCTGTTTTTGATCATCGTAATGCAAAAAACCAGTTCCTGAAGCAGGGAACCTATCATCGTCAAATGAAAATCGTCCATAGAATCATCATTTTGTGATTGCAATAGCGATTGCAAAAACATTGTCATCAAGCGATTTTGTCATATAACGAGGTAATCAAGCAGGGCACCGCTGTATTTTCAGACCATGGATAAGTGAATCAGCAGATGCTGATCCTGCGGATAAGGTGCCTGTCACATTCCCGCCTGTCCCTTGGTTGTTTCACCAAGCAATGGCTACGTGTTGTGTCACTGCCACCAGTTGATTATATTGACATTATGTATTATTAATAACAGAGGTCCAGGCAATGTGTCATTTTAAACAGAACCAAGTAGAAGTTGTTTATTATTACAGGTGATGAAGGAACAATCAAATGTCTTTAACTCTTAACAAAACATCCTACTTCATCCACTCTCAAGCGCCAACCCTCTTTCTACCCCAAACTCCAAAACTCCAATCTCTCCAACTCACAAACGCTCAAAACTCCAATCTCAACTCCTCCTCCTCCTGAGAATCTTATGTCATGAGTCTGCCTCTCCAGCACTCTGATTGGTCCATGCCGATAGCACATTAATATTCATGACCTGGGCAGATGCCGCAGTGCCCTAGGACTGTGCAGCTTGCCCAAGGCCACACAGGCTGACTCTTCTCCCAAGAAGCACCCTGTGTGGCCTGGCTCCACAACCGGATGCCCAAACTACTAAGCTATCCATCTGGCTTTGCTCTTTTAGAGGAGCAGTATTTCTAAGAGAGAATGTAATATGTCTGATATGAGCTTATCAGTACTGTTCATCGTATCCATTTCAGATGCTCTGCTGCTCAATCCACTAGCAAAGGTTCATGTTCGCACTGCACTAGCCTGCAGACATATACTGGTTAAGCCTGAACAGATACCGCTTGCTAGTAATCACACTGTGCTTAAAAGCTCACCGCACAGGGCTGATCTGTAGAGCTGGAGATGTGTCGTAAACTCAGCATTTGAAACATCCTCACACATGAATGGAAACCCAAGAAACTGCTGAAGACGGCAATACTATAATTATTATACACATGATTAAGGACATCACATGTCATAATTTAAACAGCACTCATGTGATCCAATCCTGTTGATTTTTTCAGTTTTACTTCCTCAATCAAAATGAAAACATGGCAAGAGTCTAAAACCAGAAACTTGTCAGTAGATTTTCTTGGCATCAATTTCTTTATTTTATTCCCTGCTTGGTTTTTTTTCCTGGCAGTATTTTAAAAATGCATAGTGGCTTTGAGCGGCATTGAGACTGCACAGCAGCTGAAACTTGGAAAGCAAAGGTTCAGTCAGATAGTGCTTTTTCTCATGTTTTGGACTGCTTTTGGTATGTTCGGGTTCAATCCGTTTTTGGTGACAAGACGATGTAAACACCCCTGACCCTTTTTCCATGGCTATCCACATCTTTTTGGATCACTGGCAGGATCTACTGTTTTTCCCCCCTGCACCTTTTAATTCCATTTCCAACATATGTGATCATCAATACTGAATCAAAGCAGTGCTGGTAGGTGTTTTCCCCCAACAGGGCAGTGCTTTTGCCAGGGTGTGACTCGATACGAGAGTTATCCTAGGTCGGGTTTGGCTAAACAGGGTCCCTTGAAAATGCCATCTGAGATTCAGAATGATCCTTGTATCTACACACAAGGATGGGATGGTTCCAGGATACCACACCTCAATACAACCCATATTCCACCCATTCTTCCCTCTCAGCCTCTGTGCCCCCTGCATGCTCTCCTACCTCCCCCTCAGTGGGGAGTGAGGAAAGGTGGGTTTCCTGCTCCAGGGAGGAGGGCAAAAACCCATCCTTTGAGTGCTTTCCTTACACTTTGCAAGGAGCAGGGAAAAGCTGAAATTTCCCCTTTATTTATTGATAAGGGACACATCACTGCATGGGCTTGAGGCAGCATGTCCCTTACCAGTAACTGCCCTGCACTACAGAGACTCTTGGCATTCTCCTTTCACTTAAACTCTATGTTCTTCTCAGTCTTGCCTTATTATCCCTTGGGCTCTGAGCTCTTGGCTGGTATCTGTCTTCGCATCTTTTGAATCATCAGCCCATCTCTGGTATTCCAAACGCAACAAAGAATATTAATTACAAATCTCTTTGTCACTTTTCTTTTGATTGTCTGTTATCACTGTCCTCTTCACTCCTCATTTTCCTCTGAAACTGAAGCCACCAAACACGGCTATGCCTCAGCCTCATCACCTGATCATTTAAATGCTATTTATTATAGCTGCCAAAAAACTTCATGGGGGGGAGGGTTGGCAAAGGTTTGCTTCTTTGCTGCTCTCAGAGTATCTTATGGCATTGCTTCACTGTCCTTCCTGACGAAACTATTATAACATTACTACGTTTGGCCCTCACATATTTTGGTCCTGGACCAACAACTGCACGCTGACAGAATATATTTATTTATTTATTATATTTATTTTTTCGATTTTTACCCCACCCCTCTAGACTACGTCTACTCGGGCTGCACTGGGAAGCAGTTCTAGTATATGTCAGAGCTATCTTCTCCCAGCCATTCATCTTCTAGAAAAACCTATTCCCTGAACCCAAAGATGGAGTCTACAAGTCTACAAGCATAAGATGAAAGCAGTCTATAACTACTTTATTTAGAAATTAAAAGGGTGGGAAGGGACCCACGACATGCAGTCTTGCTGAAAGACACATTTTTAAGGACAGCGTGCCTGTAGGTTCTTTTCTTCCAACACAGGGCATGATCACGTGGAGAAATAGATCACAATTTGGACCACTTTTGGAGCAGTCTACTATGATCTATTTCTTTTAGATCCCACCACATACACGGAAATGAGCTCCAGCCTGACCCCGATGTGTGCCCAAGCTGGGCTTTTTTTTGGTTCTGCTGGAAGGCTTCTATTTTTTTTTTTAAGGCACTTTTACATGAGCAAAAATGGACATCGTTAAGTGAAAATCCTCCATAGAGAACATCGTTAACCGATGCAGAAAATTCCTCAAAGTAACCCATCGGTAAGCGAATTCTTCGTTAAGTCCCTGACAGACAGCAGGATGGATTTCAGAGAAATTATTATTCTCAAAGCAACTCGTTCTTGGGCAATCAGGTGTGCACCTTGCAGCTGCCTGATTGCCTTCACAGTCTCTACATTGGAAAAAAACACAACACTGTATTTTCCAACACAGGGAATTAGGGCACACCATTCCAGGGGGGAGCTCCTGTCCTGCTCCTAAGGTCTTGTCTTTCTACTAGATCCAACTGAGAGTGGTACCATTGTACAGAGGTCTTTGGCTTCCAAGGAGCGTCGGTGGAGGATGTCTCGGCGCAAAACAATCAGCAGGAAGAGAAAGCCCAGCAGCAGGTGACCGACATTGCTGAGGATGTTGTTAAAAGCACTGTTAAGAAAGGAAGCCTAATGTGAGAGAAGGAAGGCGGCTCTCTCCATGCACATGCACATGCTTAGTGAATCTATAACATTTTTTTAAAAAAACAACCAGTGGGGTTTTTAAACACGAATTCCTTGCATGTGTCACATTTGCTCACAGAAATGCATGGCATTTGGCTGGTATAGTAATTACAGGTTTTAAAAGATAATGGGAGAACCTCCTTTCCCTCAACTTTTTAAATAAATAAAGCAGCTGCTCCAAACGGCAGGACTCCGGTAATGCCAGATTGGATGCCTCTGGGATTTATGCTACCCCAGGGTAGACAAATGGAGTGTTTCCTACGTGTTTGGAACAACAGTTCCCATATTTCCTGAGTATTGGCCATACTGGCTGGAGGAGCTGATCAAATGGGGGAGAAATGATCACCAAAGGACCAAGCCCCTTTGCATTAAACTTGCACAATCTAATTTAAAATGATGCACTTAAGAAATACGGTATCTGTGTTTAACGAACTTTCACATTTATTAACTTAAACAAAATTAAATGAAACTCTAGGCTTAATGTTTAATTCAACACTTATCTAAATGATAGATTTAATCATAAATGGATTCAAACATCTGTCTATTTACAGTAGTGCTTCGCTTGACGAGGATAATTCATTCCATTCAAATCGCTGTTAAGCGAAATCCTCGTCAAGCAAAATTAAAAAACCCATTGAAATGCTTTGAAAACCGGTTCAATGCATTCCAATGGGCTAAATACCTCAGCGTCCAGGGAAGATCCTCCATAGCGCAGCCATTTTCCGGTGCCTGTAAAGCGAGGAATCCGTCCTAAAGCACAGCGGGGAGCCGTTTTGCACAGCGGGCGGCCATTTTAGAGCTGCCGATCGGCTGTTTTAAAATCGTTGTCTAGTGAAAGATCGGTTCCTGAGGCAGGGAACCAATCACCGTTAAACAAATTTTCCCCATAGAAACATCATTTTGCGATCGCAATAGCGATCACAAAAACTTCATCGTAAAGCGGCTTCATCGTTTAACGAGGTAATCATTAAGCGAGGCACCACTGTAATTGCTTTAATATGTGACATTATCCCATAGCATCACTTCTAGGGGCATTTTGAACCTAATTGAAAAATACTCGGCAGTCATGCTGCTTGGACAGCTTTAAGAAAAGAGGGAAGGAAACTGCCTTTGTTCCAGCTCAAAAATATTCAAGCCTTAATAATCTTCTCTGAAGTCTGCACCCCAGACTTCAGAGGGGCCTTTTATTCCTGACCCACCTGAGAGAGGGTGTGTGTGTGTGTATCTATACAAGTCTACCCTGAGGATTTATGTCTGACCCAACCTGCAGGCTTTTGAGTTTGCTTTTGGTGTGAAAGTTAGAAGATGAGGGTTAAACATGACTACGTGTCATTTCCTCTTTCAACCTGTGCCATTTCTTGTTTTAACCTGATATTTCTTGAATACAGAAACCATTGCATGCAACTCCTTTACTACAATGTTATTAGCAGGTGAAGACCTTTCTCTTCAGGCAAGCTTTCACATAGTGCTGCCAAGTGTGCTTTTTAAAAGGGATGTGTTTTGGGGTTGCTTATATTTTTTTGGTACTGTATTCATTAATCCTTTTATACTCACAGTATACTCACTGTTATTAGCTTAAATACTGTCTTTTAACTGTTATAAGTGGCCTTCAGTCCTTTTTATGGAGAAAGACACATTAAAAATATTTTAAATAAATGAATGAATGAATGAATGAATGAATGAATGAATGAATAAATAAATAAATAAATGTCCTAACAGAATGGCTTTGTACTGTTTTAGAAAAGTATTCCGTAGGTCTTTGAACAGGTTTCCTGCAATGGATTTTCATCTCATTTAGCCTCGTAAGACATTATCACAGTCCGTCCATCGACACATTTTCCATGATCACATAACTTTACCAGAACATGGGTTTTTTTTACAAATATTTAAATGCATTTGTGTTATGTCAGCAAATCCACTGGGAGTTTGTGTTTTACTTATTTTAAAAAATACTTTCTAGCCTAAATAGCCAATTGATAGCCTCACAGTGCTTCTGTAGTGATGGCTCAGCTGAAGGTAGACGGTGATTTCTTCATGTGTAGGTGATGTGTAGAAGGTGGAATATTACCTTTTGCAGCCGGCTGAGTGAAGAAGACTTTGATTAATGGATAACTTCCCCTCAGGGGAGAGAGAATTAATCAATTACTTTTTCTGTTGCAATTTGCTATGGAAGCCCAGCCAGAGGCTTATTCCTCCTTTGTTACAGTCATGGACAACCCATCGCTTGCCAAGTTCCTTTTGCTATTCTCTGTAATTCGTAATTAGAGATGAGACTGTATTTTAAAGCTTGAAAGCTGCTACCTGGTACTTTACTTTGAAGTCCAGGAAGCTGTTGCCATGGAATTGAGCTGCGCTTTGCCCTGCTGAAAGCTACAGTGCCAGGGTTCACTCCTAAGTAAAAGAGCACAGCATCAAGATGTGCTTCATACGTTTGGCGGGGAAATGGCCAAATTAGCAAGAATTACCTTTTGCTTTGAATTCACCTCATATCTTCAGCCTTGTTGGATTATGGATCCTGGTGGAATGTGACCCATCCAAGACCCTTCCCAAAACTGGAATTTGGCTGCCACCCAAAAAGGTTGCCCACTCTTGTTTTATTATCCCAAACTTCATATTTATATGCCTTTCTTATTTTTATTGTTCTATTGTCTGATTTTAATTTGTCAGCCATCCAGAACAGTGCATTGCACGAATGGGACAATCAATCAATCAAACGGCTTAAGTTATTATGACGTCTGTGTTACTAATAGGAGCTAAAGTCAGATAATATCCCACCTTATCCCCACCCAAGAATGCATCACCCACATTTTCTTGGCTGTAAAGAGAAAAAAACCCAAATGTAAATTACAATCCATGCACTAGGAGTGTCTCTCTCTCACACACACACCTCAGGACTCCTAGTGGGTGAGCGCAAAGGAAGTTATAATAGCAGATGTCCTGGTTTCCAGTCACATTCACCACCTGAAAAAGGAGGAAAGAACAGTATATAGCTTTACTTGCATCCTGTACACATCTTTCCACCTGTGAGAGGCAAAAGGCAAGAGAGGCAAAAGCAGAGCCTTGATTTTACTTTACTTTATTTAGATTTATACCCCACCCCTCTAGACAAAATCTACTCGGGGCGGCTTACAAAAAATGATAAAATACAATAGAATAATATAGCTATTAAAACTTAATAATACAAACAACTAACTAGTGGTTATATACATTATCAAGATGGGAAATTAAAGAAATGAAACAGTTAATTGACTGGAGGGAAGGCCTGCCTAAAGAGCCAAGTTTTAAAATGGCTTTTAAAAACACCTAGCGAGGGAGCTAGGCGGATTTCCGTTGGTAGATTGTTCCACAGCCGAGGGGCCACTGCCGAGAAGGCCCGGTTTCTTGTTCTTTCTTTCCGGGCCTCTCTCAGTGTAAGGCCCCTCAGCCGTCCCTGCTGGCTTTGTCGGGTGATTCGAGTAGACCTGGGTGGGAGAAGGCGATCTGCCAGGTATCGAGGTCCCAAACCGTTTAGGGCTTTATACATCATCATTAAAACTTTGAAATCAATGCGGAAACAAATGAGCAACCAATGCAGAGCAGCCAGGGTGGGGGAGATATGCTGATATTTCCTCACTCCACTAAGAAGCCTGGCTGCTGCATTTTGCACCATTTGAAGTTTCCGCATCAATCCCAAAGGCAGCCCCACGTAGAGTGCATTACAGTGGTCTAATCTCGAGATTATGAGCACGTGGACAAGAGAAGTAAGCCCTCCCCCTCAAGATATGGTCGCAGCTGGGCAATACGCCACAGGTGAAAATAGGCAGAACAGACCACGGATGCTATCTGCGTTTCCACGGTAAGTGACGGGTCCAGGTGTATCCCCAAGCTGTGAACCTCACTCTGTGGTGAGGGACGACCCTCCAAAAGAGAGGGAGTCACCCACGCCACTGATGGAAGGATCGCCCTCCCTCAAGACCTCCGTCTTGTCCGGGTTCTGAGCATCCTTGATTCTGAGCAAGACTGAAAAAAACGGCCATCATATTTCTTGAACAATTAAAAGCATTCCACCCCATCTCAGAGTGGCAGCATGAGGCAAACCCAGCTTCTCAAACTGAGAGACACCAGTACTTCAGCAATAAGGAAACCTTTATCTAGGATTCAGCTTGTTTGCATGTGCAGTGTTTAACTCTACTTGAACAATGTAAAAACAAAGAAGAATGGGAAGTGCCTTTTCAGATAATGAAAGTATGTACTTTCCCCCTTGGCTTGTGTTAGCCAAGTTAGCAAATTCTCACATATTGGAATGGTATGACAATCAGAGGCCCCCCCTACTATCCAGGCCACTCTGTAATTGCATTTTGAAAAAATAAATGTACTTGCAGTTGGAAGACAACTACACCAGATGGGCTCTCAGTGTTGAAATGAAGATATATTTTATTTTACTTTATAATTAAAAGGGAGCCCCGTAATGGTTCCCCGTAAAGGGGGAAAAGAATGACAGTAAAGGAGAGAGTGTATTCTCGAAGGCTTTCACAGCCAGGATCCAATGGTTGTTGTAGGTTTTTCAGGCTGTTTGGCCGTGTTCTGGAGGTTGCAAAATAATACAGCCTGCAAAAAGGTCAATGAACTCTAACCAGCCAGCCACAAGGACTGGTGATCAATGCACACAAAAGACCAGCTAACGACACTCATCAATCACAGTGATAGATCATTTCCCCCCTTATCACAACAATACATCCATAACAAAAAAACACCCTGATCACAATAATCACCCAATTTTCTGAAAAGAACAAAAAGCTGATCCCACAGCTACAAATACTCAACTATTCCACACACTACACCAAAACACAGAGTTCTAACTCCTGGAAAGAGCCAGAGGCTGGCAGTGCGGCAAAGCATTGAGTGAATGGACCAGTTCTGATGTCTGGACCCACATTAGGCATACCTGGGATGGGGATATCTGTATTCATTTGCAAATACACAAAAGTAAAAAAAAAGTGGGGCTGATGCCCAAAACTTTGGGGTCCACTGAAGTTGGGGGGCTTGTAAGAAAACTGTTTGACCCGAACGACAAAACTGCGCTGAGGAGTGAAAGCAAATTACTCACCGTTTGGTATGTGATCACCAACTGGATCACAGGCAGGGCATAGAAAACAGCTATCGTGATGATGTTCCTATAAGCCCCAAAAAAGGAAATGATTATTTGTCAACAAGCATTAAGAAGTTTACAGCAGTATGTAAAAACACAGTGGTGCCTTGCTTAATGGGCGCCTCGTTTAACAATGAAATCGCATAGCGATTAACTTTTTGCGATCGCTTTGCGATGTTCCCTATGGGGAAAATCGCTTTGCGATTATTGGTAACCTATTTCGCTTACTGATCATCGCAAAGCGATGATTTTGTAACAGCTGATTGGTGGTTCCAAAATGGCCACTGGGTATAAAAATGGCCACCTGCTGCTTTCTGGGATGGATTCCTCTCTTACCGGGCAGCGAAAATGGCCGCTGTATGGAGGATTTTTGCTTAAAGGTGAGTCCGAAGCCCATAGGAACACATTGAAGGGGTTTCAATGCATTCCTATGGGCTTTTTAATATCGCATAATATCACATAGCAACGAAATCCCTTTGCAGCGATTTTTGCTGCACAGATTATCGTCGCTATGCGAGGCACCACTGTACTGTATGATGACAGCGATCAGGCAGTTAGGAGACAGGCTAGGTTATTTCTGCAGCTATGGGCTGATTATCCCCCCAGAATTGAGAACAGGCAGAAGAAAGCATTGGTGCAATCAGATCGGTTCACAGTCCTTTGAATACAAATCTCCAATTAAATCTCAGAGCTTTTCAGCTGACACGACGGCACAGGGTTGTCTTCTGGCATTGTTCCTCTATGCAGACCCCAGTGTTGAGTTGCAGCCTCTTCTACCGTCATTGGCACTGCTACTTCAGTGGTAGTTATCTCACGAACCCACTGCGAGTTCCTGTGACTCTATGGTGGTCAGCTATTGCAAATACTATCAAGAACACTATCTGAGATAGTGCACCCTACCAAGTACAGTGGTGCCCCGCATAGCGAGGTTAATCCGTTCCGGATTAACCCTCGCTATGTGAAATCGTCGCTAAACGGAATGTAAAAGCCCATTAAGCGAGGGGAGGGCGCGAAAACGCTGCATGCGGACATTTCGGGCGTCAGGCGGCCATTTTAGAACCGCCAAACAGCTGATCGCCCGACTCTGTGGGAGGTTTGGGGGGTCGGCAGCAAGAGGAGAAGAGGGAAAGTGCGGGGGCGGAGGACGCGCGAACGCGCGGCTTCCCTCCCTTCGCCTGCCTGCCAACCTCCAATCATAGCAGCCTCGTGGCGCAGTGGTTAAACCGCTGTACTGTAGCCAAAACTGTGCTCACGACCTGGGGTTCAATCCCAGGTAGCCGGCTCAAGGTTGACGCAGCCTTCTATCCTTCCGAGGTCGGTAAA